AAGGAAAGGTGTGTCTTCACTTGGACCGTATCTTCGGAGCGGATCCTCCTGGAATTTCCCAATATCCCGTCCTACGCTTCCTGACGCTGTTCGGAACACCTTGATTCCGGGGAGAGGGTTCTTTGGATAATCACGGTTTAGTTGATTTTCGTAATGGATTATTGTGGAATTTGAGGTAATGCTTGTTTTCAGTTGTTTGACGTTTTTTGAATTGTTTCGTTTTGTGTTTCTTGTTTTGTTCTGTTATGTGGAGGGAATGGGTGTTTGAATTTCGCGGGTTTTCTGTTTGGCGGGAGTTTTGAATGAGTGCGGGCATGTAATGGATTTTGTTTATATATGTATTTGATTTACGTACTTATGTATTAGTTTATGTATTTGAAATATACAAAAGTTCAACAAGTGCGAACTTGAATTGAAGACTTAATCAGTTTGATGAGAATCTCAATTACGGAAGCTACGAAGTAAATGACATAACATTTTCTGAATTAAGATTTTTATCGACTTGCAAGTAAGAGTAACTCGCATTCCATTTTATTAAACAGCCTGTGCACATTAAAAGTGTATAAAAATTGCAGCATAGTTGCAACTAGTCTGTACATGTTAAGCAAGTCCAAGTTTTTAAAAGTATTATTAAAAAACAGGAAAGTGTACCGTACGTTGAATATTGCAAACACGTTTTCCTATCACTCTTAATTGTATATAATGGGAGAATATTTCCAAAAAAGGCAGTAAATATCAGATTGAACATATTAAATCTATATATCGTATTATCAATATTACCAATATCCTCCTAAAAAACCAAAAATCATGCATCAGTCGACCTAATACACAATAAAACAACAAAAAAACACCGAAACATTCCAATTTCAACATACAACGTTTTACAAAAGAAACCCTTTAATTTATCACTACCATTTTCATAAATCCTCTAAAACCCGCCCCCTCAATTACAACAAAAGAATCTCGGCCGTTCAGATTGCCACGGTCGATTGAACGCGTATCAAGTTTTCCTGTTCCATAAACAGGGTTCTGGCAACATCCCTTCTCGAAAAGTTGCCGTGCCGAGTTTCAGCAGCAGCGAAGACTCACCTGAAAACCGAACGCCGAAGAGGGAAGCTCCGAAGAGAGGAGAGGAGAGGAACTGCGCAGCGCTCGGCTGGAGGGTTGCTCGGCCGCAGCGCCGGAAGAGGCTAAGGGTAAGAGCGGAAGAGTGAAATAGACGGGGTGAGATTCCCTCTCGGCCCCGGCTACAAGAACTTCATTTTCCGGGCCATTACACCCCGTCCCGCTCCGCTATCCGGCAAACCCCTTTACCCCTTTAAATTAATTTATATCGAAATTTTAAATGACATTCATCGAGCTGAACAATAAATAACACTACCGGGACCGGGGGGAAACGGCACCGCGTTATAGTGACGTCGACCCCGGCTTTTTCAACGAGCCAACGTGTTACGCCGACCGGATTCAACCCCCTCCTGTACGCGAAAATTCCTGCGAAAATTGCACGGGCCCCCGCGTTTGTTAATGCACGGTCAATATCATGCATCGACGCTCACGCGATCGTTTCGCCGCTGCTCGTGTAATAACTTGCATTTCATTTGTGCTCGATGGGAACCAGTGAATCGTTGGCAACGAACGGACCGGTTTTTCCGCGAGATCGCTAAGGTTGTTTATTATTAGGTCGGTGGCAGAGTTTTATCGCAGCTAATGGGGTTCGAAGAGAAACTTTGGATCGTTGAATTTTGGTTGATCGGAGTTTTGAAGCTTGATGGTTGAGCTTTTTTGTTTAGCAGGGTTCGTTTGTGGTTTGGTTAATTCGTTCGTATTTATTAGTGTATTGTATTATTATAAGAACGACGCATTGAAAAGGGAGATAAGAATGTTTGGTTAACCTAATATTTAATGTTAATAGTTAATTAAGGTTAGTTATCTAACAATTAATCTTTTGCACTGGAAAGCTTTTAATGTAATTGTGGTATAATTGTACCCTAAGTTTTATTTAAATTTTGAGACATTTTCTAAGAGAATATTTTTTATTGGAGAAGTAAACAATAATAGATGTCTACACCTTATTTTGTCGTTACATTTTGCATCTCCGAGGTTTCTTCTTTATCGTTGGAGTACTGTATCTTTTGCACGTTCCCGTGTTCATCGTTAAGTAAATTCGTCAAGTGAAAGCGTATTGTTTTATATACTTGATGAAGCTCCTTTGAAAATTGAACAATTTCTTTAGGAGAGTTGTACACTGGCAACGTTATTGTATGGTATCTTTCACCAATTTCAAGGAAAACAAGTAAAACAATAAAAATATACGTTCACCTGCTCGGAAAATCGATATGGCAACGTGCCGTAGACACTGACATGGTTTAGTGGAACAGCCGAATGCTAAAGTGATCTCTTTTATGATAATAATCGTCGCGACGTTCCACGGAATTGGTTCTTTCCCTCATTGACGTCAGTTTTCTCCTTTACGTCGAACGAACCGCTTCCCTACAGCCTTTGTGTATTCTCGTCAAACAAATTTGCAGGATTTGCTGTTTCAGTACACGCGAAACGGAGGCCATTAAAGTTACACGAGAGCGAGATATGTATTCAATATTTCTCACTCGCAAAAATTTATGTTCCTACCTACTATCATGTTTTCATTGCGAATAAAACAGAACGTAATATCGACTTATTCTATATAGAACAGAAGTGAAATTATTTTTCATCAGGTACTCTTTGAGTTTATGTTCCTTATCTATTCGTTTGAGATTACAATCTCTTTACTTTATTATCGTTTATTTTGGTTAAATGATTTTAATAGTTATTTTTTAAAATTATTATCGTTTATTTCTTAAAATTATTTTAAAAATTATTTCTTACAATTATTATCTTCTCATTTTTTTTAACTAATATAGGTTACAAACTATTATCAACCATATACAATATTTCATTGTAGTTTCTTTTGAGGTTGATGCACGTGAAAAAGCTCACAGCTTTTTCATAAATTCAGCAAAGATTATATTGTCTCACAGGATATCGAAGATTGTGAAGTCGGTAACATCGGTAAGTAAGCGTTCTACATACTAAATCTATTTTCAATCAGCAACCACTAAGAATCCCATAACATTACATTCGAATTGCTAATTATTATCAATTTGAAAATGGAGCTTCAAATGAAGTATGTTTACTGTTATTTTAACCCATAGAATTATCATTCAAAATATTTATTGCACATAATTGAACATCCTATACATTCTATTTAATATTAATCACACATAAAGGAGGTAAATAACGAACAACTATAAAATTAAAAAAATATGTTTGCAAAGCAAGAACCGTAAACAACATCTAAAAAAGAAAAGATGAAAATTCACTAGAGAAAAGAAATATACAAAAAAAAGATGAAAAAGTTATTATAAAATTCTGCGAAGAACAGATTATGGCGTTAAAGGAAAAAACTATTAGATTAGTTACAGTTAGATAAGATGAATTGCAATTTTATTGCAACAATGGCACTAGTGGAAAGAGCAAAACAACTATTGAGCAAAAAACAGTTGTAGTGAAAGATGAAAGATAAGAACTTTTGCAGGTCAGTTTAGCAGATATTGAAAACATGGATAAGGTTAAATTGCCTAGCAACGACTTCAAAAATTATAGTTTCCGTAGGAGATAAGAAACAGCGGTGGTATTCATTCGTAAACTCGTTCGACGCTGTCATTGTGGATTCATGGAAAGTCAACCGACTTGCAAATTTCCGAAGGATGTCGCAGTTGTAATTTCGGTCTCACAATTAGCCATGATCTTAATGAAATCTGGGGGTCCTGAAATGAGAAATGGGGATGCAGCCAGCGACGAAGTCGCTAACCAAGAGAGAACATTTGAATTATGGAGTTAGAAGAAGATGCAGGTGCTGCAAGATTACAACTATTTATAAATGTCAAAAATGCAGCATCCATTCTCATGCAAACTGTTTTGAAAAATCTAAATCCACGATACACAGGGTGAACTCAAATCGTTGTGTGAAATTCACCGAAATGAATGACGAATAAGTAATACTGTTCAATAACAATTAGTTATAGTTTTAATTTGTTTTCAGTGAGTGAAACAACGTATCCTAAATGTCAAAGGCTCCATTTTTAACACTAAATGTACCGGAATTTTGTAGGTACCAATTTCTACTGTAGCCTGTCAAATAGTTACAAAATTAAAGAAAACAAATTAGACAGAATGTTGTTGTTAGTGAAAATAGAAATAAAGGGAAAGACAAAAATTGAAAAACTGATCAAACCGACAATATAGGAATTGGCATACAGTTAAATGAACGAAAGAAAACAGAATTTTAAACCATATTTTGAAACCGATCGTGATGTGTTTAGTGTTAAGGGGCAACGTTTTAGAAACGATGTTTTCTATGCAAGGTGATGAGGTCTTAATTCTTTGTATTTATGTTGATAATACGGATGTTTTATAGTGTTTTTTATCTTCGAAATAACCTTCACGTCACAAATTCTACGACAGGAATGATACGACTCTTGTAAACTTCAGAAACCGTTTGGTCAATTTAATCGTGGGTGTTTTAATTTGTAAATGAAAGGCCACGTCACAGTAATAATTACCTGACGTCACGATGATAGCAATAACAGCTTCCACTAAGTATACTTTTTACATTCTATATTCTGTAGAACACAAAAGAAATTCGGTTTTTCTAATTTTTTGATGAACCTCGTTAAATTCCTTAATAAACAAGATTCATATATCAATTATTTTTATACACGATTAAACGTTAAACACTGAAACTGACTTTTTGATATTGATTTTCAAAATTAAACCACTGTACTCGAAATTAAAGTAGTTTACATATAAATTATTCTTATTGTCAATTAAAATTTAAACGCCAGAGTCGAATGTTCAATATATATTTTTAGAAACAAAGTAATTGGAAAACGATTTTTTATTTTCATACACTAATCATAAGAGTTTCTGTCACTATAGGCAGTCATTGACTAAAAATGTACCTGTCAGATATTTTTCTCCGTCTAAGATTCCAGAAAATGTCAAAACAATCGACGGTTTTCACTTCACGATGGACAGTTGCCGATTCTACACACTGTCAGCGCACGAGGACCGAACTGACGATACGGAACGCGTTCCAGTTTTATCTCTAAGCCTTCCGATCTTTCAGTTTTACGTTTTATATCTGTGAAATACTGGTTTATGCTCTAGGTTACACTTTTGTTGTCGTACAACTGTTCTGAAACCTCGCAACGATCGCCGCGTCTCCTGATTTTATAAACCGCACGTTGCGAAGTGACTTGTAATTTTTATTTATACGCACATTTCATGGTATAAACGTTCAGTTCAATACCAACATTGCATCAGTCATGGTTATGTAAGTGTGGGTAGTAACATCTCTTTCTTGCCATTTTATCCATTATTCATAGACATAACGTAAACACATGGCTCAAGCAAAATGTGTACGCGAGCTGCACCTGGTAATACTGTATTTTGATCGATTCAGTATTAATCGCGATTTATCACTTAATTATAATATTTATCTATTTAATAATAATATACTTCACTAATCATTGCGATGAATATGCACATTTCCGAATGTAATCTACTTGAACTTTGAAAATATTTATCTTATCTTATTAATCTCGGTTCGATTCTTCCGGAGGATTTTCTGATTAAACTTCTTATTTCTTTAGAAAAATGTTCTTTGGTGTTTTCCTCTGTTTGGAGTTTTTCTGTAAAATTTTTTTTGTTTTTGACAGTGGAATAAATTACGTCTGATAAAAGCCGTATTAAAGCATGTGAATAATTTCTTATCGGTTACGACCTTTGGTACGACATACAGTTTTTATCGTCACTGTTACTTGCATGGTCATGTTCCTGGAGAATCATTGTAACATTGCTTAATATATATGAAATTAAACTGTAGTAACAAATATTAAAATTTTTTACTTATATTATTGACTGCGAATAAGAAGATTACACGTAATTATTAAATTATTATTTGTTTATGCAATTTATTCTGTATATTCAGAACCTTCTTCGGTTCCTTTATTTGCAAAGATAATATCAAAAATATTCTACTTCCACTTATAACTGAAACTTTGTACGCCATTTTCTAACATCGATTTAGTTATGTTTAATAGATGAGCAAACACCATTGAACGTTAATTTCAATGAAACTAAGTATAATGATTTTTCAGTTTACTATTTACTCTTTGTGACTGTTCCCGGCTTCTTGATATGCGCTTATGAATACAAAATTCAGTGTAGAGATAACAAAAGTTTTTCGCGAATATCTCGGAAACTAAAGACTTCCATCAGCAACATATAAGGGAAAAGCTTGTTTAAAATCATATTTTCAACAACATCTTTCAAAATGATCAAAATCAGTGCAGTCGTAGTACATCGACAGTTTTATCTCCAACTCTAAGACTTGGTTATCCTCGTTATTTCTTTCCATATTTTAGTACACAGGTAGCTGAATTGCAAGTAGCATTCAGCATTCGAACTCCAAACTTGCTGCCGAAACTCTGTCAAACCCGCTATTCCGGCAGCTTCGTATTTACGTCGTCTTCGCTAGTAATAATATATTGTATTTACCCTTGCGACTTCGGCATTGAAATGTATTTATACGGGGTGGATCATGAAGCGTGATCAGCTTAGATTACTGTGCTGTTAGCGGTTCGATAGAAAATTTCTTTAGCTAAACTAACATGGTTCAAGGGAAGCTTTAAGATGATTCTACCAACCTTCTTGCTAACCTTTTTTTTCCAGAGTTATCGAGGTAACCTTCAATGTTTTACAGGCAAACATATAATTTTGGTACATCTATCTTTTGAGGGCTACTAAGACGAATTAGACAAGCATCATAACAAATATTCTTTTTTTGAAACTAAAAAGACTGGAGAAAACTCTTAGTTGGAAGAGTTTTGCAAGATTCTTAAAGATTATTAAAGAGCAATAGCAAGTCATATTGTTGTACAACACTTTCTAGAGCTGTTGGCTTAGCTTCTGTAACATGGGACACATGTAATGATGGCAAACGTAAAATTTCAGTAATGTTTCGTGATCGGCATGTACTGAAAGTGACCCTGACAACTCAAGAAAAAAAAGGCTAGCAAATAATGCGATAGAATCATCTTAAAGCTCTCCTCGAACCATGTTCTTTTAGCTAAAAAAATTTCCGGTCGAACCGTTAGCAGCAGCATAATCTAAGCTGATCACACTTCGTGGTCTACCCTGTATATTAGTATATTTCAGCTTGTCGATGTATTCACCCGATATACAACACTCCTGCGCGCAGGAATCATAAAACAAAGTTCCGCGACACGCGTCGACTGACGTTTGTTCATTTCGCCGACGGTTTCCGGCAGTTTCTAGGGGAGCAATTGCACGATTGTCCGGCAAGAATAAATAACACGCGAAACTCGTTTATTAATAACTTTTCGGGTGAACACGGGGGTGGCGCTAACTCGCGGGCGACGCGTCGTGACGTGGGAGGGAAATAAAATTTCATGGTGTGCCCGTGTCCCAATTCCTTGAACGCAAATAGCCATTTATGAGGAAGTTTTCAGGACTCCTCGAGTATTCAGGCTCTCTCATCGCTTGGCGGTAAATGCCAGGGCTGTATGTATACCCGGTGCCCGGAGGGCCTGCTTTGTTACAGCCCACAAACCTCTGATACCCGTGGCATACTTCATCCTGGACCGCGGAGTATTTCAAATACTCTTGGCATCAAGTACTTGCACACTAATCCCGGGTGTACGGAACGGGCGCAACCCCGGTTCCGGTCGAGCTTAGCTAGACGATCGACGAATCCGAAAACATGCAGGAGGCCAGAGACTCCCTTGTTCCCGGGGCACGAAGCTCCTTGTTAAATTTTACTCTTTTACCTTTCTGGCTTCCTTAACACCTCCGAATTTCGAATACCCTTATTGTGGACCGTGCTTTTATTGCAATTGTTTCGTGTGATATGTTGTTTATATAATTTCTGTACATTTCAGAGAGCGAATAAAATTAAAAGTAATTTAATTATGGTAATTTAACTCACTCGGGTGACGTTGAAGTCTCACAGCAATATATTGGTATTTCGTTGATTTATTTTATTTTGCATGGCAAAGTGGAAAATGATATTAAGTAATTAATTAACTTAAACTTTTATACGCTCAGGTGTGAAACTTCGACGTCATTGTAACTTGAAAGATACAAAATATATCCGGTTTAAGTAAATTATTTAGACTATTAAATACATTGTTAATCTGTATTCATAGGTTGATATTTATTCATTTCATACTGCGTCAATTTTGTTATAATCACGAACAAAAGTTCAACCCATAGAGGGTTAGTAATTTAATGTATAGTAATTTGAAACGGTAAATAAAATAAAACATTTAACACAAATGTCATACATGTGCGATAGTTTGATGTAGCCAAAGCGTTAATATATATGTTAATATTATCATAGCAATGGTAATTAACAGCGTTACACGTATGTAACGCTGGGCTCTATAAACTCCTTGCGCTGGAAAACTGTACCACTCGATTCGGGAAGTTTTTATTCCGGAATAACCGACGACGTTTGACAAGCATCAATAGTCTTGTTACATTACGCATACTAGACTGTTTTGGAATGTATCACTCTGCACCAAATGATCAATAAACGAAATTAGCGCAGATGTCCGCGTAAAATAGGTAAGACCAATATTCTTTATTATAATTTTAATTATAATATTTATTTTATACTCAGGAACAATAAAGAACTAGTAGATTTGTCAAAATCAGTTCCAAATTGTCACGAGCCTGGAACGATATTACAGAGCAAAGGGTTAACACCTTGTCATACGATTTTCTTCGCCACTGTAATTGTCAGATTTATTTTACTATTAATCATTCAGTTCGAAATTATTAATATCATAAAGATATCACTATCCGAAATCATTAAAAAAATTCATAGTTTCTTTACGAATGAATAAATAATTGATATTTCTGTAATTTATATTAATTGGAAAATATTTTCTTTATATTTCTTCAGAGCACGACCAATGTTTGTAATGAAGGAATCGCCGAGAGGAAAGGGTTAATATCTTTAGACCCTGCGCATATGTAACGAAGACAAAATACAAAGCGATTTCGTGGCGAGATAAGCCTCGTCGATAACCCAAAGCTGCAAAGTTTCTGACCTCGACTCTGTTTCCATTTCCAGCCTATTTAACCGGCTTTCTCCGTTGCTTAAGTTGTGATCGTTGTTCCAAGTTTAATCTGTCTTTTATGCCCGACGTCCAACAGACTTGCACCTTCGCATCTTTGTGTTTAAACCCTTTCGTTCGAGGTCCAGTGGTATTCCGACGTTATCTCGAACGATTGCACGGTATCTTCGTTAACGATAAATCCGTTCGGTTATCAGGTTCAAGATAGTCTGCTTCAACACCTTTGGATTAAAGGTTAAAAAATCTATCACGAGATCATACGTTCGGAACGTGTATTTCGAATAGTTGATAATAAATAATCTGTTTAATATTTCAAGTATTGGGAAATCAGATGTTCAAATTGAAGATACTTCAATTTCCACTTAAGTCCGAAATACTAAATTACTAAAGTCTAAATAAAAATTAATTTTTTCCATTATGAGTTCCTTTATTACATAAAGAAATGTGAGAATTATTTTAAATTTGATTGAAATTCTTCATTTCTTTCTGTACTTGTTTTGTTTCGAGAAACAAAATACGCACACATTTTTAATTTTCTTTTTCATTTTACGAAAATGTGTAAAGTTTTTAATATTTTCTGTAACTGTTCATTCTTCAAAGACAAGCAAGTTAGGTCAGCATTCAGACTTTCAACGGCTGATACTTAACCGACGTGCAGTGTGTTAAATCTCATTGGCCAATTTGTTCGAACTCTTCATTGTCATAAGGTTAAATCAATAGTGTCGCAGCAATAAGTTTACACGACTCTTAAATGTTGTAGAATGTTTTATGCATTTTTAACTTAATGTTAGACACACGTAAATCATCGTGGCGTGTTCGGTTAGTTACACAGTGCCGCCGTAATCACATGCAGCACTTTGGACTGGCAACTTTGCATGATGAGCTATATTTGACTTGTTGGCACGTACCCAAAGTTCAATCTCGTATATTCAAATTGGTCTAATTGCAATTTCGCATGGAAGAATTTTGTTTTTATAGTCATCCTAGATTTCCTTCCAAATAATACAATTCTTTTAATCTTACCTCGGGTGAGTTTACTGTCCAAAGCTAATGATCGAATTACATAAATATGACGCAAGTTCCATAGTGACGAATCAAAAATATTTTAGACCATAGACGGTTAAGATAAAAACA